ATCTGATATATCTGTATATTAAATTTTATTTCAGTATAAACAACAGAAATGTGAAGAAATGAAAGGAAACTACTTCTTTTTCCAGACAGTAAAACAATCATGTAAAAGGGCCAAAACCATAGGGGCTTGTCTTCCAGATTGATAACTGTAAAATAATTTTAAAAAATTTGTATCTACATTAAATACACTCTAAATGTTGCTTTAATAAATATTCTGACATGATCAGGCAAGAAAAATAATGAAATTGAAGAAATTGTGTTAGTTTTCTGTTGATTAAATGCGTGTTCACGACTGACAACCGCATCAACATTTAAGAAAATCATCACTTTAGGAAAGAGAACTATGGCAACGAAATAAATTAATGCCTTAGAGTCCAGAAATAGGTGCTGAAGTGGGAGGGGGTATTTTTTCCAAGATGTCAGCTTGCGTCCCTTTGAGAGCTTATGTATTTAGTCATTAGGGTATTCCGAATCACCCCGCATTTCGCGACACTCGGTAATTTACCTTAGGCCATTCCAAGTTTTTTCTATGTTTAGCGTCCACCCATCTTTCAAAAACCTACCTACCTATTCGCAAAAAACACACAAGCCAAAACATAAAACGCAGGCTTTAAAGACATAAAACAGGGCTCTCACACCACTTTTTGGGACTGGGGCCGGGGCCGTTCAAATTGGGAAAATTATCCTCATTTTGGGAAGAGTTGTATAACCTAAATTTATTTTAAAAATCCTCAAATTTTGCTTTTCTAGCATTTTGTCATCAATTTAACTCTGGTTTTGAATAAACAGTTCAACAGTCAGAACAAACACGGGTACGTAGGCTATTTATGAAAGTACATTAGCTTTGTCATAACCATCTTTGAGTGTTGATATTGCGGTTATATGTCTTTCTGAGTGACAGTCGCTAGTCACACAGTCCCGAATTTCCTCGATCACATGGACAATTTTGCTTACCAATACAGTGCAAGACTGAACATGCCGAAGCGTGGGTATGTTTCTAGGTGCATCTTACTAATGTTTAAATGAAATGACTATTTTTGAAACCAAAATGATGTTTTTGTCGAAACTACATGACAAGATACTTTGCACTCATAGACAGTACGCACTGTACATTTTTGTAAAAACAATAACCTGGTTCCCCAAACCAGTTTACGAATGCATTTGGCGCGAACTAATACATTAGTAGTACAGTTTTACTTTCACTTGCAAGTGTTTTTTGTTTGGGTTTTTTTTTGCGATTGTTTCATGGACTTTTATTTTTTAATTAATATTTTGCCATGGAAATTGGGAAATTTACATCTTTCTTTGGGAAAAAAGGTACCTTTTTTGCATTCAACGGCCCCAATTTTAAGAATCGAGAGCCCTGTAAAAATGACGCGCTTCAAATGATTTGATCTAACTAAACTGCTTTAACAGAAGAAATATCTATTCTTAAGCAAAAACAAGGGATTAAATGCTTAAAATACACCCAATATAACTTACCGTCTAGAATTATTTGGAGAAATTGACAAAATTAAAAAATTTCGACAAAATTAATCAATTTCAGGACTCCGGATGTTGTGTGTTTTTTCTTACATGGGGTGTCAAAAACCAAGGCGAACGCTCACGCTTAACATAGAAAAAACTTTGAATGGCCTTATCGCTGCATCTCATACAACACATGCAAACGTTTGACAACTAAATAGTCATTAACAACATGGTTCGTGCTTAATACATACAATAAGGATATGGAAATAACGAACAGTATTCAATCTCAACGTCCATTAAACAAATATACAAAACAAGAGCAGAGCAAACACGGACCTCCGAAACATCAGAGGTGGGATCAGGTGCCATGGAGGAGTGAGCATCCCCTGCTGACCGGTCACACCCGCCGTGTGCTCATTGTCATAATCAGGAAATAACGGAAAAAATCCGTAGTCAATTCAGTGTATAAATAATGGACTAACAATTGGTATGAAAAACGTACAGTCAGCATTTCATTCAATGATAAATTGTATTTGCTGACAAGGTCATTATATCGACCATTGAATTTACGAAATGATGACTTTAAACGAGACTGTTGATATTCTTGTTTCATCAACTTGCTTGTCAATAATTTACCTCGTTTAAGAAATTGTTCATACGTAGAGCATGCTCTTGCGTATCGAATCAACTGAGATATAAATACTCCGTATGCAGGTGATGAAGGTATATTGCTGCATAATAAGGGAAGTTGACGTTGGAAAAGTAAAACTCATCACGTTTATCATATAGCTTGGTTGTTAGATTACCATTTGTGTCTTTTTCAAGTAAAATATCCAAGTATGAAGCAGATGTGTTGGACTCTGTGGTATCTTTTATCTCAAGCTCACCAGGATATATCGTGTCGACGTAGGAATGGAAATTATCACTATTAATTGACAATACGTCGTCGATATATCTGTGTCGAGTTGAAGGCCACAGCAAGTGTTTTTTTCTTTTCACGCAAAAGATTTTGCATAAATTCTGCTTCATATGAATATAAAAATAAGTCTGCTAATAACGGAGCGCAATTTGTACCCATGGGAATTCCAATAGATTGTTGGAATACCTGGTCTCCAAAAACCACATAGATATTGTCAATCAGAAACTCAATTGTAAACTTAATGCTTTAAGTAAAAAAATAATTAATTCATTCGTTCACTACCTATCCTTCGCGAAGAAAATGCCCGTGTGTAAACGTTGCAGAATATTTCTAATCTATGTCGTTGTTGGTGGATGAAACCTAGCATATTAGGTATTGATAGAACGGAATTTTTATGAGCTTTCATAAGCATTTTAATTTTTTTATTACATCTAAAAAATGTGTATGTTACAATCGCATTTGTAGCCCCCTACAGTTTGGGGTATTACGAATTACAAATTTGCATGACCACAACGGAAGCAATCGCACACGCTGCATACTTGTTAAATGTCCGATATTTTGATTACATCGATTTTTCTTTACATATAAGAGACCTAGCTATGAATATTATGAAATGGAAAATTAAGCTGTGAAGAGTTAATGAGTAATGATGGTATTCACTTGACCAGTGTTGATCCTTTTATCATACATATGTAAATATGAACTTGCACACATATACATGTACACATATATTTACACTGTGCACACATACAGTGATTTATGTCATATTTAATAATTGTGATACGCATATTGAAACAAGAGCTAGTTTTTAATTTACTATTCATACTTTTTTTTTATTACATGTATGATCTTTTTTTGGGTAGCCCATTAGTAGAATTTTGATATGTTCAATGTTAATTGTTTTGCATCAAAAAAAAAAAAATCACAGGGGCAAAAAAGTGACAAATTATATTTACAGGACAACGATTAACAGTCATGTAGTTTCTGAAACGTGTATTTTCTTGGTAATAATTGCTTTTCTGCATGACCCGCTTCTGTAAAGCTGTTTTATAGTGCGAGGAGAGGGGGGTGTTTATAACCATTTACCTGGCGATTCAAAAAACCCGGAAGTGATTCGCAACACACTAAAAAGGTGATGTAAAAATAACCCCTGTCAAGGTCGCTGTATCGAAGATAGACTCGTTCTATAAAGTAGGTCTATAATTTTCACTAAATTGATACCAAACAACTACCATGTGAAAATAAAAAATTCATATCATCTGCAGTCAAAATGTAAAAGGTGATTCGGAATACCCTAAAATGACTGTAGTACTTTTTTAAAAACATTATTTTTCTCGCCTGATCATGTCAGAATCTTTATTAAAGCAACTTTTAGAGTGTATTTAATGTAGATACAAATTAAAAAAAAATTATTTTACATTTATCAATCCGGAAGACAAGCCCCTTTGGCCAAAACCTCCAGGGAAACACATATCTATAATGTTTTTGTACATGCCCTCTGACAGGTTTCAATCTAAAATTACTTGTCCTACCTAGAAATATTCAGGTTTTCGCAAGGACTGTTGGATACTCAGAATACACAGAGTTTTACAAAATTCAAAATTGCACGTGCAGGCACGGATCTGGCTTGGTGTATTAGTGTATAAATACCGGTAGTCAAAATGACGATCCCGATCATAATGTTGGCAAGTGGTAAAACTAGTCGTCTCAACTCCCGACAGTCTAGGATTTCGCTTTTTTTGTTGATATCTTCACAACCTTAGACCTAAAACTTAAGGTCTATGTTACAACTAATGACAGAGATTATTTTTCTAGCTTAAGCTCATTTTCTAGGTTGCTGTAAATTTCCAAATGCATAAAAATGTTTGATCAAAATTATTTTCAATTTGTTGAATTAGCATTCCAATATCATGGATTTACATACGACAGGTAACAGCTTGATCAACACTTTTCACAAAGGAACAAACATTTGAATAACGTTTCAAATTTATATTGATATTTATGCACTTAAAAAATCAAAGTACTGAAAGTACTGAAAAGCGGTTAGCAAGCTTTCATCTTATATGTACCGAAAAAAGTGCATGAAATGATGATATTTAAGTATGCATATCTTTGTCCAATGTCATCAGAGAACAAAAAAAACAAAAAAACAAACAGACATTCTGTTTTTGTAATACTTTACTTAATAGTAAAACCAATAACATTCCAAACTGATGTCACAGATGGATGCAATCTAATTAAAATTAGATGTTCCGAATCCGCTACTGCTTCTCAAACATCTAACAACATCCTATTTGGGGTCATGTAAGAGTGAATCTTCGATTAGCCAAAGAAAATGGTTCCTCCGAAATCTTGGCTTATAGTTCAGATGGGTTTCTTGTTTTCACCACCGAACCAAAACACCCGAGGAGTTTTGTAGTAAACAAAATATGCATTGCAAAAGCTGTGTTATGTATGACGTGTGGGGTATCTTGTATAGTTTGTGCTCTTTCGTTTGCATTATTCACGTTCAGATGCCAGACTGCAGACTATACATGAAATTTATTCCAAAATTACTTTAATGGGGAACCGGAGTCGGTTATCTTATCATGTATCGGTAGGGGGGGCCACAGGAAAATGCGGTCCATTACAAAAATGATAAAACCTGTGAAGATGGATAATCAGCATCCATTCTCGAATACGATATCGGAAAGCACACACGTTTCAGTTACAATCCTTAATTTACTATGGCATCTAATTGTGGTGATATGACTATACCCGAACTTAAGAAGGAGTTAGAAAAGTTTGGAGCAAAGAAATCAGGAAGGAAGTGGGAACTTGTGGAGAGGTAAATAAACATACGATGTTTTCATGCAAATCCAAGTAAACATTATTAATAAACGGTAAATAATTATCAATGGTGTGTAAAAGATTAACATTACGTCAAATTGACAGTAAATATCAGAATTACCGGGTTTAAGAGACTAATTCTTAAATAATCAGCAACTTTAGCGTGTTAGATTTTTAACTTGAATTTCCTCGGTAATTCTAACATCGATGTCATATTGCTTGGTGCTTGCAGTAAAATAAGAATACTTCTCTATATTTTTATTATGAAGCAGTATTATTATTTCCTGATTGTTGCAGCTATGTTTCTCTCAAACTATACATGAAAAAGAATTAAATATGCTTATTTTATTACAGACTTGAAGCCTACAGAAGAAATGCACATTGCGCTAAGACCGATGTTTATGGACCTGAATTTATGATGATGACGCCAGATCCACAACTCTACAAGGACCTTCATGGTGACAAGACCTTTCCAGGTTGCACAGAGGCAGAAATTTCCACTTTCTTGTCGAAGTTTAATAAGACAACTGATAAGAAAGGAAGGGATATGTACAACGATGGGTTTATCCAGTATGTGAGGGTGACATTTCATGATTCAAATTGGTTCGTTAGAAGTAGTGTAAAAGCTTCAATGATGAAGTCTGTGAAATATGTTGTTGACATTATGATAGGAAAAGACAGAAGTGTTATAGAGTCTCAATGTGAATGTGCGGCAGGTATGGGACCCGATGCACATTGCAAGCATGTCTGTGCTGTACTTTTTTCATGTGCAGATTTTGTTAAGCATGGGACATACAAAACAGAACTCACCTGCACACACAGAGGTTACAAACTTTTCATCGTGCTAAGCCCCATAAAGGAAGCCCTATGAAAGCAAGACAGTTGGACATGCCAGGCTGTGACGAAGTATGCAATAATGACTATGACCCTCGTCCAGTTGAATTTAGAGGCAATCCGGGATACCAGTCTTACTTTAGAAATGTGTGCTTGAATTACCCAGGTATTAGTAAGACTCCAATTTTTCAGCTGTATGAGCCTGTAAACATGAAAGCTTACAACCTGGACCATGACTATCTAAAAGACACGTTTAGTGAAAATCATTTGAAACTTTTAAATGTATCAGAAATTTCAGAGGAGAATGCACGTCAAGTTATGATAAAAACAGCTACACAAGCGGCCAACGACCTTTGGTTTGAGGAACGTTGCAAACGTCTTCATTCTTCGGTATTCGGGAGAATATGTAAAGCAACTGATCGAACTGATAAGGTGAAACTTGCTGACTTCTTAACAACAAAGGCACAAAAAATTAATGCCAAACCTATTCTTCATGGAAGAAAATACGAAAAAAGAAGCTGTAAAGAAGTACCAGGAAATTTCGGGACGCACAGTTTACGATAGTGGAATTTGTGTCAGTTTGGACTCCCCTCATTTAGCAGCAACCCCAGATGGTATTATCGACGATGACACCTTGATTGAAGTTAAGTGTCCATATGTGGCTAGAAACAGTTTTATTTCCTCAAAAACAGTTCCTTATATCAAGCAGTCTGGAAGTAAATTTTATTTGAATAAATCCCATGACTATTACTATCAGGTCCAAGGACAACTTTACTGTGCAGAGAAAAATGAGTGTATATTTGTTGTGTATACTTTCAATGACTTTTTATTCTTTGCAATAGAAAGGGATGATAAATTTATTGATGAGATGAAGAAAAAATTGAATGAATTCTATGAAGATTTTTTTAAGTCTGCTCTATTGGAAAAAACTTTTTTCAAGACATATGATGGCAAATGTAGTTGCAATAAAGAAAAATGAAATAAGACTTTTTTCTCTTATTATGTCATTTTTAATACCAAGTTATGCATAAGATGGCACTATGCAATTCTTAAAATTACACAGCATGAAACAAACATAGATTATTTCTGAAGAAAGTTTTGTTTCAGAGCTATTCATAGGCTCAGTCAGAATTTTGAATGTTTTTGCAAGTCCAATGATCCTCTCAATGTGCACACGTTTGCTCGATATTTTTCGGTCTTCAATCACAGTAGCACATGACAATCTGTTTTTCTCTTTGAAAAATGTTGGTGTATTTATTTGAATGTTCCTGTGTACAAACATATCCTGCACATTAAAACCTTTGTCCGCCATTACTGAATCTCCAGAATTGCACATTTCCAACAACCTACTTCTTTCAACTATTTGACGGTCACTTGTGGATCCCCCATAAGCTGTAGAAATATAAGATGTTAATCCACCTGGTGTCGCTCCTACAAGAACTTTTACCGTGTTACGGTTTTTATAGGTAGAATACGTTGCTTGCTGTGGCTTTGGTAACTTTGGTCTTTTAATTGGACACTCTGTGCCATCTATTATCACTCTAGTATTTGGAAATTTTGTTTTAAAGTCTGATGGACAGTAATATTTAACAAGATACTTTGTAGGCCAAATGTCAATTTCCTGCCATTGCTTACTCATGAATAAAATCCATGTAAAAAATATATTTGATACAGTCTTTTCGGAAACTCCAAATAATCTTGAAAGTTCAAAATTGGTCGTATGGCGCCGTAACTTGCAGAGGACTAAGAAAAATTGGTCAGGAACACTAATGTTTGAAACCTTATGATAAATATAATTCAAACAGTGAGCTGCGGGTCCTAAGGTTCTTAAAACAAAATAAAATTTAGTTAGAGTTTCCAATCCAGTATAGAAATTTACTCCGGCATCATCATTTGTAAAGTTTTCAATACTCATTGGGGGATACCGAGGAGTTTGTGTCTCTACATCAAAAAATTTAACGTCAGATTTCTGAACATTGACTTGAATTTCTTCAGCCAAAATTTGGGTAGAGCTAGATACAGTTTCCTCGGATACATGCAGATCATCAGCTGATGTATAGAAGACTTCATCTACGGAAGACGAAGCAGAAAATTCTTCTGCTAGTTTTCGTTTGATGCCTCTGGACTTGGCTCTGTCGGCTCGTTCATGTGAATGTGGACTTGGCTCTACCCAGGGAAAAATGCTTGGCACTGCAGTTTTCTTCAATCTTTTACTTAAAGGAGTAGTTCCTAAGAATTAAATTATTAAATATATCAATACTTGTTCATAGTTCTAGATAATTAATTAAATAATTAATTTATAATTTAAGAACTAAAATTTTAAAGCAAATAAAACAAATATAAATTTACTAAAATATTTTTTTATTACATGTATTATCGTTATGAAATTGATGTTACAAAACATGCCCATGTGTTTATTAATTCAACTAAACAGGTCAAATTTGTTTTTAAGCAGGGTGCTAATTAGACATCAATGTCAAAACACAGTATCTTGTACTGGTAGATATGCATAAATTATCAGGCAACAGCATGTGTTATTTTAGACATGCCTTGTGTTTATATTGTTAAGAGATAATGCATTTTGTAATAAATGACCAGTAATTGAAGTTGTCAGTGGGGAGTCTGCATGTGGCAGTGTCTGTAACGTTATCAGATTACTTCGTATGAGAGGTAAACAAGGGATTCGATATTTTAGTGCATTTCATCTAAGCAAATAAGGCATAAATATTGCTCAGAATAAAATCTATTAACATTACTTTGCACATGCTTATCAAAGATTTCAAAATAAATAAATAAATATTGTTACCATGCTGGGTTTCAGTCAAATAGTCGTCTGATTTAAAATGTGCTCTGCAAACAACAGCATGAGTTGACGGAGTCCAGCTTTGAAAACGAGTTTCACCACGTTTTATTGCGTGTATCCATGCTTTTCTTCTTAACGGGTCTGTTGGAAATAGATGGCCACCCCGATTACTACAATTCGGCACACAACAACAAGTTTCAGGCATGTTTTACGGGCACGTGTTTGACAGCAGATTGTTTACGTTTTTCTTCGATCGGTAACTACAGATAAGGCGCGAGGGTGTTCCGATACAGGACCGTGTTTGCCTGTGGCGCCCTCTAAAGAAAAGATAACCGGAGCAGGTTCCTTATTCAACGTAAGACAGTATCAATAACGATGATATGTAGCCGTGGAATTAATTTGAGAATTGTTTACCGAGGCTTGAATCTACATGGCCAAAGTGTTTGTGTTTACTAGTACATGTATTCATAATCGAAAGGTCGCTCTGATGTGACCCCGAAGGGGATGTTAGATGTTTGAGAAGCAGTAGCGGATTTGGAACATTTAAATAAATTTTAATTAGATTGAAATGCATGTTTCAAAATTTAAACATGAGATTTCTTCAGTTTGAAAGACAGGAAGTGCATTTTTAAAAGTTCTCTCTTGGTGGCATCCAATCGTTCTCTGGATGAAAACAATTATGTTGATGTTGAAAATTTAATTGTCTTTCATGCTCTATTGAATCTGAAATTAGGTAATTGTAAAGCCTACTATAGCAAATTACTATAAAAAATGACTAGTTAAATTCTTTAGATTAATGGATTTGGAGTAGTGTAGATCTACAGCTGGCTAGTCAGAGGAAAAAAGATGGCTGAACAGAGACTTTGTAAATGAATCAGAGATATCAGAGAGCCCCAGATGTGTAGGCTCACTGCGGGTGTAACCTGTCAACGAGGGATGCTTACTTCTTGTAGGCAACGGATCCCATCTCTTGAACTTTCAGGAGTCAGCTTTTCATCTTAAATCGATCATTGATCATTCTGTATTTTGATACAGATACTGAATACTTCCGTTTAGTAATATTATGAACTACTACTTCTAAGGGAAGACTGGCGAGTAAACAAGATTATCAAGCTTTATGAAATGTACTTTATTGACTTTTCAAACAAGTAAATGTTCGAATAAAGTAAATGGTATACGAGAATCATTTAAAAGAAGTCTTGCACAATATGTCTAGATAAGGACATATAATGTGTATTTGCCATATACTCTTCATGCAATATTGTTCTCAAATAAAACATGTGAAAAGGAAAGTTGTCTAATCAATCAATACTAGTATTTAAAAATTCAAATGTACACTAAAAGTCAGTGTAACTTAAGAAGTTATCAGTGTCACTTTCTTCAATATGTCGGTTAAACAATATACACTGATTTCTTTTCTATCAATGTGCCTCTAAACACCTGTATTTTAATTTAATTCTTCTTAAACGCTCAAAATAATAATCGACAAATTAGACAAATTCAAATTTAAAAAGTATTTTCTCAGCTAATAATACGTTCCTTAGGAATTGATAAAATTTTCAAAACTTATAAATAAGCATTAAGTATATATTTTAAATTTTTGCTAATTGCCAAGATTTTTCATACCTTATTCTCCTGTGAATAATTATATCGGTTGATTTTTAGAAGAGAATCACAATGCCGATTAAAATTAATATATATTTATCCATTTTTTTTTTCAAAATTAATTTTACTACTCTAAGTGCCCCATTATTTTTTTCAAAACTAAAAGTAAGTGATCCCTTATGATCGTTTGTCATAAATTATCAAAGACGGAGTAGAGAATTTACCCCTGGGAGCAGAGCTTTTATAATCTGTTTATTAGACAGAGAAGAAAAGAGAAGAAAACAAACGTTTCATTGTGGAGGTAATCCTATTGTTTCCATAAAAACGTTACAAAAAGTGTAAAACGTACAGATGTATTCGGTGTTTTTATAAAAGCGTTTTTCAGGTATTACTTAACTTAATAAATGGTGTTTCTTAATACTTTGGCAAGGAAAATCAAACTCGATCGAGAGATTTGCTGATGTTTTTGCAGTCTGTAATAACCTTCAACCTGCTGTATAATTAACCGTATCGTTCAACTTTCAAAAATAAACTAACAAATGCTATAAATCGGGATCGCACGATGTACATGTAATAAGGACCAAATTCTCAGTTCTTTAAAGTTAGTGTTTTAAGTATTGTCAATGCAT